CATCTCCAAAATGCTCAAAAAGCTTGAAAAGTCTGATTTTGTTCCTCATGATGATCTCTTTCCTTCCTATCTTTACTCCCATAATAAAATTGTTCCATCAAAGCAGACTTACTAAAAAACAGACTCGGTTCTGTTTCGTATATTAAGGCATAGCATGCTAGAAATACAAAGCTGTTCTCTAATTCCAGTTTCACCAACAGTAAATATTTATGTTACTTTCTCTCTGTTGAGAAAATGAATAAACAGGTTGGAGGCAAGGGGCTTGGGGTCACAGTCTCGTTCCTAATGAAGAAATATGTAATCCAGTAAATATTTAGGTTGCTGATAATATTAAACTGGTTGATTTAAAACCTCTGAAAATGAAAGAATTCTGCTTCTCAATAAAGAAAATGAGTGATATATAAATGAATATGGTGTATATCTGAGTGAATTGTTTTTCCAGAGAATCAAAATGTACTCAGTTTATGGTATCATCATGTAATGGTTTACAATTCAGCTTGTATAAATTATAAACTTTTAAATAAAGTCCTCATTTTAGGAATTATAAAATAGAGAACATATAAAATAAAAATTCTTTGCTCTTTTGTTCTTTAGAAGAGTAGAGAACAGGGACAAGTGAGAAAGAAAATTTTAAGTAGCATGCTTTTAAGATATCTTTCCATCTGACTTTAACATGAATTGTCAATCTCCTCGTTAAAAATAAAATTCATTAATTCTAGACGGCTTGTTAAAGTCTTTCTGAGAGAAGCACAGGCTCAGTTTTCCCTTTGTCACTTTAAGAACAAGGTCACTCTGCACTATCCTTTTTACTTCAGTTTTATTCAAGGTGGACTCAATCCAAAAAAAGGCATTCAAGGAAGAAGACATGTAAAAGATTTTCCTTGATAACTATAGATACAAATTCCTAATAAAATTGAAACCTTTTGGGTGGGAGTAAGTCAGCTGAATATGAACTTTCTTAGGAAATCAGTATCTGTATAAATGATGCCAATATAATGGAGTTTTAATTTTAACATTTTCCCTAATTCTCTGTTTCATGCTTCATATGTAATCACCACCAGTTCGTTGTCTCAGAATACTGAACTGATACAGCTCTTTAACAAATGTGCCTATGAGTTTTAGGTTGATTTTCAAATTTTGTGAATTGGCTCTATCAAAACCTATGTTAGGAAACATCACAGATGTATGCCACCTCTTATCAGAATTTTATTGCAACTCAGATAGCAGTCCTCTGGATGTAGCCACAGTATTAAATAGTCTTCATTTTTAAAATGATATAATTTCAATTATGTGCACAATTCTTCACATTTATTTAAACTTCAGTTCTAGCAGATTTTGAGACACATGCGAGCACAGAACCAGCAATAAACAACATCTCTGAAGATTTGGCACCGGTGATGGTCTAACTTTTCACATGGGTAAATCATAGAAATTCTAATTTTTCCACATTAAGCTTTTAGTATGTTCATAGGAATAAATACTCTGCAGTCTTTGTGTCCCTCATCTTCTGGTATCCTGTTTATTTCGAGAGAAGATTTTGGGGTTAAAGTATTAAAAAATAAGCAGGAATGTATGTGCTTAAAATTTCAATGATAAAAATTTTTCTACTTTCTGTCTCTTATTTAATCCCAATACAAACGAACCATCAAGTGATTGCTGACACGGGAAGATTGAAACTAGTCACAAATTAGTACTCAACGCCAACAGATATATAAGAAGTATCAATGAATAAAAGGTCTAATTCACTTGAAAATCTATTATTAGAATATTGCCACAGACTGACCACCTTTGAAAAATACTGTTTTGTCTTCAGAGTTTCTAGTTGGTCCATTACTCAATGCCAGCCCCAGTCCCAGGGTCTCTTGCAGTTAACTTTTACACGAGCTTCCACAATTTTATTCTATAACACAGTTGAGAGGTCTTTTATATGATAAGAAGTGTTAAGTAGAAATAGATGTGCACTTTTTGATTCATAGTCATTTAAATCTGCCATGATTAAACACACATCTAATAAATTTCTTAAAATATCTTGGTATACAGCATTAGGGAAATTTTGATAAACTTAAGATAACATATTTTGTTTCTTCCATTTAAAATAGTTTTGAGATATCTGCTGCACCGATTTTATTTGAAAAGTAAAATATTCTTTTTGGATTGCATGTCATCCTTCTCTTCTATGACACAGCTTAGCTGCATAAATTCATCATTTAGAAAATCAGCACCGTTATGTACAATTTACAATAGCTGATTGTACCTTAATTTCTACATTGTACTCACTCACTTCTTCCCATGTGGTTTCCTAGGCCTCTATTTTTTTAACCAATACTGTCAGGTTAAGAATCGTCATAATTTATGTGCACATCTTCTTTTCCTGCTCAGACATATACGTAGATAAACAAAGTATATGAGAATGAATTTAAAGGCCAATAAACTTAAACTTGAAAACACAGATTCTTCTGCAGTGACTTCAGTGTCCACTTCCTGATCACATCTGGGGCCTCTGCACAACATCTCTGAAATCTAACTTCAACTATCATCCAAACGCTGAAATCATTTGGGACTTATATTTCTTACCAGGTTTTCCCTGGACAAACCAATGGCTACCTGGGTAAAAAAAACACATGCCGCTTACGTAATTTTTCCTTCTCCACTTCCCTTTCAACCTTGTTGAAAAACTGCCATGTATCCACTCCTGCCATGTATCCCTGGGCAGAAATTTATTTTGTACTTAAGGATAAGTTTCAGGCTGTTTTGTCTTTATGTATTTCTGTGCTCGGATGAAAAGTGGTATTTCTTTGACAGTAATCTCCATTACCATTTGGAAGTATCAGTCTCTTAAATTATTAATACAGATAAAGCACTTTGTTGTACAGCAATATGCTACTACACATTTGAAGATAAATTCATATTTCTGTACTTAAATAAGCAGCGATCATTCACCTTATCAGTTTGATGGACTATAAGGGCAGGTAGCCCTTCAATCCTTTGGCAGGCACCTCACCAATGCACACTCAGTTTTGGCAGCCATTCATTCATTCATTCGTTCATTGAGTAAATACTGAACTCTTCCTACATTTCAAGTGTTATGCTAGGTGCTGGGAAGGATAACCCAATCACACTCGTACCACTTAAATCCATACTGTGTGTGTGTCAATCTGATTATGACCTGGGACCAGAGGAACATTCAAGAAGTAAAGCCTCTTTGTTGTAAGGTCAGTACTTATTCTAAGTGCACTTTTTTTTTTCCTGGAAAAAGGAGGTAGCTTTGTCTAATTCTTCATAGGTGACCTGTGGGATAATCCAATTTTATAGCATAGAGAGATTTTGTATCAGGGTTTTAGTATTATGTTATATATCATCATTTTTTCTAAAATGTAGGCTAGTGGAACCATCATGAATTACATAAGCACTCTTAGCAGATCTTGTTTATCCACTCAGTTTGACGTGGTTATTCATAATAATAATAAAAATTGATTATTCCTGACTGACCTAGGATGGTTTATATATTAATCTACTAGATCGTATCTATGAAAATCAATTATTCCTCAAATGCCTACTAAACACAGGGGGAAAAAGTAGTTACTATAAAGAAATATAAAATAAATCTCATTTTTTTAAAACCAGGAATGCAATAAGGTAAGATGTAAATTAAAATCTTCGTGAGAAAGGTTAATGAGTTTGCAAAATGAATGCTCTAAAGAATACAAAGAGCATTTTGTGTAGGTCTCACTTAAAAGATTGCTATGTTTGTTGGGGAGGTTTTCTTTTTTTTTTAAGTGCAACTCTCAAAACTTAGTGTAGTAATCTACTTGTGCCATAAAGATATCAAGCTTAGCTATCAAGGTTTGTACACATGTAGAGTATCACAAAAGCAAATTAATAATAAATATTTAGATATAGAGCTACTTTGCAGGGAGAACAGAGAAAGTGTTATGAGGGTTCAATACTATTAATTTTCTTATTCTATAAATAGGCCGAACTATGGAAAGTCTTTATGGAATTTTCAAAATATTTATTGGTCCTGAAATCAGAGTTAACATTTAAATATCCAAAAGACTAGAGAATACTTTTGGTGGAACGATCAGGGAAGATAATTAACCACAGTACCTATATTTAGTTCTCAAATCAGTTCTTAAATAGTATTTTGAAAAATCACTCTACTGACTCTCAAGATCAGATTCATGAATCTTATCCGGCTTTTAGGAATTAAAAATGTATTAAAAAAAATAACATTTAGTAATTTGGATAGTCACAAATCCTGTCATATTTCAAATAAATGCATTTCTCTCTTATTTAGATAATGAGTAAACCTAATTACCGACACAACCAAAACTTAAACTTTATAAGTTCAACAGATAATTTATGCATTGAGCAATATTTACATCAATACCACTGAATACTATGGATACATTATATGTTTTTTTATCCTAATGCAACTTTTTAAAAAATATAAGGGGAAAAGAGTGACATGGAGAGAAAGAAAGAAAGAGAACACAGAAGACCCAGGTCTTTGAACAAAAACAAATTTTTGCCTATCTCTGATGATCTATGGATTCAATCTCCTATGTACTCGGTATACTGGAATATTAACTTTCCCCACTCCATCCCCACCACAAACCAAGATCATTTATATAAAAAAATGTTTTCATCTCATAAATAATCACATATTCAGCTACAAATGGCAGAGACCCCAAAACACTACACTGTTAATAATATATTTTCCTTTGTTTGTGTTTCAATACTTTGGGCACATGGGGGATTATCTATGCTTCTGAGACCATTTAGCCTTATATCAAAATTCTCCTCCAATGCATAAACAGCGGCATGCCAGAGATGCCTAAATTCACAGTAAGGTTTATGGCTACTTTTGCCAAAAGCTGTGAACATGCAAGTTGATTAGGTGTTCTCTTTCATGCTCCTGTCTGTATTATTTCATTGGATAATGAGATAGGCTGCCCTTTCTGTCCATCATTAGAGCAGCTGGAGACAGCATTTGCTACCTGACAAAACTTTCGAAGAAGGATCTTTCTTAGCAGCAGATAAACCCAGGGATCCAAGATCTGGTTCAGTGAAGCCAGGCGAACAGCTATTAAGAAGAAGTTGCATTCTTTCAGCTTTTCAGTGTGAGTCTTGCAGTGCTCAACTGATGTCTGATTGAAGATCATTTTCAACATCATGATCTAAGAAAGAGGGACAAATAATTGTTCCAAAGATTAACAAGGTCACATGCATCTCCTCTATACAGTACTTTGCGCATGGTTTATAGTAAATTGGTTGTTAGATTGAGATGATTAATTCAGGCAAAATTTACATTCACAGGACACAGCCATGAATGAATACAAGGCATTCCTACAGATTTTCCCACATTTTTGGCATTTGACATGATGTAGCTTTTTAAAAAGTACACGTTCTCAGGCTCTTGGTTCTTGGGATTTAAGACGCTTGAAATCTCAAAAACACATCTCAAAATTAGCTAAGGTCATCTGTTGTGTCACAGAAAGTATCAATAGACTGACACCCTGACAAAAGCCAACACCTCAACAAACCAAAACATATTTAATCTTAAACTTCAGAAGTTCTGAGAAGAAATTACAGAGAAAAAGGAGAAGGAAAAAAGGGGGAAATGATACTTATTACTAGCATTTTCTGAGTCCTTACCATTTGCCAGGGCTCTGTCAAGTCCTTCATATGCACTGAATAAACAATGAAGATAGTATTATTACCATCTCCTTTTTTACAATTGCGGAAGCCAAGTTAAGCCTTGACGTAAAATGGCTGAGCTGGACTTAAACCGAGGTTTGCTAACAACACTTGACATATGCTGCTTCACTTTTTTTAATTGTTTTTGTCTCTCCCTCTTCACCATATACACTAGAATATAAACTCCTGGAAGGCAAGATTTGGGACTATTTTCCCTCCCACGAGCATATTCCCAATACCTAGACCAATACTTAATAGCGCTCAAAAAATATTTGTGAATAAATATATAATGTGATACATATATTAATATATGACATATATCATATGTAGGTATATTTATATTTGAATGAATAAATATTTGTGATTTCTATAGAAATCTATAGAAGAGGAAAGAAATGAAGGTTCATATACTTCTGAAAAGGTCTTCAAGCTCATTAATAATCAGAAAAATGCAAATTGTGAGGAAATGAGAAACAATTTTACACCCACTAGCTTGACAAAATGAATAAATGAGACTTTTCCAAATGTTCGTGTCGGGGAGGAACAATAAGGACTCTTTCCACACCACTAGCTGGCATGTGGCCTGGAGCAACCACCTTGGAGAATAAAGTGAGCACCATTTCACCTACTACCTGCCAGCCAACCTAAGCCTGCGAATATGCCATCCTCAAGGCCTGCACCAGGAGTTCTATATATGACTGTTCATTACAGTGTTACTCACAACAGCAAAAAAAAAAAAAAAAAAAAATCCCCGGAAACAAGCCAAACACAGGTTCACATTTACAAGCAAAGAAAGGTGCTGACTTTATAACTGGCTCCTAAGTTCATCTTTCTAATTGTGCACGACTATGAAGCACTTGAAATGTGGCCGGAACAAATTGAGATGTTGGAATATATAATGATTATATAATGAAATGTTAAGATTTTTGATATATTGTATCAAATAAAATATACTATTAAAATCAGCATCGCTCCCCCCCCTTTTTTTTTTACATTTTAGAAAATGTCACTACTGGAAAATTTTAAATTACATATGGGGCTTGCATTTGTTGCTCACAGTACATTTTCATTGAAGCCAAGGTCTCTCTTGAGGCCCACACTTATTTGGATGTTTGTCCTTAGGTCATATATCTCAAATTGAAGTCAACATCCCTGAACACCCAAGACTCCCCAGACCACAAAACCATAATCCCAACAATGGCACTTGCTTCTTATATAGTCAATACCTGAACAAAATTATGGTTCTATAAACAAATAAGAAGAGGGGAATGTGTAGACAACCTGAAGATAGTCATATATTCTTACCCTGTAAATTTCTTTCAAAGGAATTTTTTCCTTACTCAATAAAAGCAAAAACAGCTGTATAAATAAGTCAATGTTCAGTGAAGCATTATCTACATTAGTAAGAAACTGTAAACACATAAATCTCTAACATCAGGAGTAAAACTTAATAAAATATGGCCTATTTGTATAGAAGTATATCTAAGAATTGGGTGAAAACAGAATATAAGATAGTTCATGTATATAAAGCTATATTGTTATATAATTAAATTATGTGAAATACATAGACTTGTGGAAGGCAATGGAATTATTACTATTAAACAATAACTTACCATTAAACAATCATTAAATTATTTTAAAAACTGTATGTACATAAAAACATGTCAAACAATTAGTGAAAGTTTCATTTAAAGGAAGTTGATGGGGCGCCTGGGTGGCTCAGTTGGTTAAGCGACTGCCTTCGGCTCAGGTCATGATCCTGGAGTCCCTGGATCGAGTCCCACATCGGGCTCCCTGCTTGGTGGGGAGTCTGCTTCTCCCTCTGACCCTAACCCCTCTCATATGCTCTCTCTCATTCTCTCTCTCTCAAATAAATAAATAAATAAATAAATAAATAAATAAATAAATAAATAAAGGAAGTTGATGATAATTGCCTTCATTAATAAATATGAATTATTATACACCAATTTAAAAAAAATAAGTCAGTCTCCATCAGTATCTTCTGATGCTGGCTCATAGTCCTGTGAACTGAACACTACCTCTCCCCATGTACACAGATGGCCGCCAAAGAGATCTACATCTCAGTTCCCAGAACCTGTGAATACGTTATCACATGTGACAAAAAGGACTTTGCAGATAGGACTCACGGTAAGGGTCTTGTGATGGGGAGATTTTCCTGTATTACCTGGGTGGGCTCCATGTAATCACGTAAGTCCTTAAAACCTGAGAATTTTACCCAGCTGTGGTAAAAAAGAGGGAGTCAGAGAGATACAACATTGCCAGTTTTGAACATAGAGGAAGGGAGCCATGAATTGAGTTAAGGAATGGAGATAGCTTCCAGAAACTGCAAAAGATTAAGGAAATAAAAGTCTCCGATTCTCCTTCAGAGCCTCCAGAAAAGAATGCAGCCCCATGGACACCTTGATATTAACCCAGTGAGATTCATGTCAGGCTTCTAACAGAATTGTAAGAGAAATTGGTCTTGTTTTAAGCCACTAAGTTGATACTAATTTGTTAGAGAACTGCAGTAGAAAACTAACACACCTACTGACTGAACTCTCAACAGATGTGGCAAGGGGATGGGAGGAACTTGCTTGAAAATGATTTACCGTCTCTCATAGATACAACATCTCAGCAAGCTTGTTTACTTTGTTCACTTTCTTAGGAAACTTTTTTTTTAAAACATAAAGCAAAAGTAAACTTCATCCTAACTCCTGTTTAAATAATCTCAATTTTTAAATTTGCAACATGTAAAAATGAACTCTTGTTATTCTAGCAGCATCAATTAAATTTCAGTGTGTTTGATTAAAAGGTATAAAATCATATTTTCAATAGGTTTCCCTTAAGAAAAACATGTGTCTATTAATTCTTTTTTCTCCCTTTTATAAGCTATTGGAAAGGTTGTATTTTGCTCTTTTAACCCTTCACCTCATCCAACAGTTAAATATATTTGACTGCCTACCATCTTCCAGGAAGTGCTCTGGGCCTGGTCTAGAATGATCTAAAATCTCACTTAGGGGTGTCTGAGTAGCTCAGTTGGTCAAGCATCTGACTCTTGATTTCTCAGGGTCATGATCTCAGGGTCGTGAGATTGAGCCCTGCATCAGGTTCCACGCTCAGCGTGGAATCTGCTTGAGATTCTCTCTCTCCCTCTGCTCCTCCTCCCACTCGCATGCTCACTCTCTCTCTCTCTCTCAAATAAATAAATAAAATCTTAAAAAAAACCCAACAAACTTACTTAACTAACATTTTCATTTTTTAGATAAAATAAAGTATTGAAATTCTCCAACTTTTTATAATCAGGAAAATTAACAAAATTGCTAATTAAAATGGGATTTCAGTCATTTTACACAGTCTTCCTTGATTATTTTAAAATTAGTTTTTATGGGGCTAATAATTTTAAATTATTATTAGGCTAATATAGGTTTCATATGCCTTACATTGATTAGTTCTCTGTAATTTCCCATAATTTACTATGGACACTGCAGTGATTATGAAATTATGAAACCAGTGATTATGAAATTATGAAACCATAGCTGGCGCACGGGGAGAGACACTCTAGCTTTTCCCGGAGATCATGAGACGCGGAATATGACAATAACTAGAATTAAAGGCAGTAAGCATGATATTGTCATTTCCAAATGGCAGCAGGGATGGAAGTAGGACTCCCAAATCCATCTAATCTTGAACATAAATGCAAATTAACATCCGATTTACCAATATTTAAGGAGCTAAACAGTGATTACAATTTTTGCAAATATTTTTCAGACATTCAGACTTTTAGAGAAAACCTTTGACATGAATATGTAGATTTCTAATGGAAATAATTTTTCCTATTAGTCCAGTTCAATTCCTTACACAAGGAAAAAAAGGACAAACAAAAAACAAGGTGCTTGGACAGCACAGAGGCTACTTTTTTAGCTAATTCATGAATACTCTTCATGACGCTGCTTCTGATCAGCCTCGTATAGTGATCTGGTCAAGGGAATGGTAAGATTAATTCTGGTTGCCCTGAGATGCAGCTCTTCTGACAGCATCTTCCCCAGGCTTCACGTGACTCTCTGAGGCCTCTTGCCTCCCCCTGGTTGTCAGCAGGAAGAGAGAGCTCTTTTTGTACCCGTGATAACCAGGAACACAACTATACCAGTGTCCCCTAAATTCTCCATCCCTGTCTAGGGTCAAGGGCAACTGCTTTGTTCCACCTAAAGGAAAAAAAACAATCTCTCTCTTTTCCAGAGATAATGATCTTTTAAATGTGCAAAGCACTAACCAAGGAGCTAGTTCTCAATATTCTGCATTTGGATTTTGTTTTATTGCAGCAGGATTTATAACTACACATTTAAAAATCTTTGGTACTTGACTTCTTAATTCAAAAATGCCTTGAGTTATAGGTCATAAATATCTATTAAAGATAATAAATGAATAAACCCAGAAAAATTAACGTGTGGGGGAGGGAATAAAATTGCTTACTTGCCCTTAG